ATCTGTTGCAGAGTAAGCTTCAGTAATCAGGTAAAAGATGATCCATCCTTAGAATATCAGCCTCATCAGTCAAGTTTCAGTGAGATAAGCAAAATGACTAATGGATTTATTATAGGGACTTGGCCTTACCTAACTGGGGGGAAATAAGTCTTTGCATCTGATGCTGGAGTTCAATCCCTGAGTTGGGGAGATTCCCCTGGAAAAGGGAAAGGCATTCCAGTATTCTGGCCTAGAAAATTCCACAGACTGTGTAGTCCATGGGGTTGTGAAGAGTCGGACACGACTGAGTGACTTTCATTTTCACTTTTCTTTCAACAATAAAGAATGATGTGGGAGCCATCAACTGTCCTCCTCTCTTATTTTTGAGCTTTATGTAAATGGACTCAAACTCTATGTATTCTTTGACTTTCTTCTTTGACCAGCATATTTTTTTGTTTTTGGCCATGCTTCACGACTTGTGGGATCTTAGTTCCCCAGCTAAGGATCGAACCAGGACCTTGGCACTGAGAGCTCCAAGTCCTAACCAATGGACCACCTGGGAATCCCCTCACTGATGTATTTTAAAGTTACATCCATGTTGATTGGTGTTGTTCATAGCTTATTCATTTTTACTGCTCCAGAATGGACATTCATTTGTGTCTTAGTCTGTCTATCTAAAGCTCAAAAATAGGCAATACCAAACAATGTATTATGCAGGTATGTATACAAGGGAGATGGAAGAAAAGGAATGTTAGACACAAAATTCACTACAGTGGCTCCCCCTTGTACAGAGGAGACTGGATGTGATGGGAGAGAAACATATGGTATACGTCTAAATTTCTGGTGCCGTCACGCTTCTCAGATTGGATGGGGTGCATGTGGTTGTTCATTTCTATTATTTTCTTTAACCTATCAATTTTTTAATCATACATAGCATATTTCATAGTAAAAATTTAATAGCATTAAATAGCTTGCTCAGTAACATTGATGTGTTAAGAGCACCCTCCCCCTGCCTTAATTGGGCGAGCATCCAAAAACTTTAAAAAAAAAAAAAAGCTACAACAAACTCTCCTGGCAACAGTCTCCCTTTATTATGAACATTGGTAGAGTGAAGATGTGGTTTCTCAAGGATACTTAAGTATTTGGGGCACAATTCCAGGGACATTGCGTTCTACTTGACATAAACAACTCTGGCTGTGTCAAAGACACAGAGATTACAGGCCCCTTAGAAAGGGTAGAAAGGTTTCAGAGTATAGGCACAAAATTAACTTTACTTTTACCCAAGATTTTTTAAAAAATTTTTGCTTTAGCCATGCTCTTTGGAAAATGAGAGATCCTGTCTCACATTCTTAGGTTATAAAGGCATTTATTGCTGAGAAGTGGTTTAGGATTGAGAAACACCTGACACTTTGGGGAGAAAACTATAGAATCACCTGCCAATGCAGGAGACATAAGAGATGGGAATTCAATCCCTGGGTTGGGAAGATACCCTGAAGGAGGACATGGCATCCCACTCCAGTATTCTTGCCTGGCAAATCCCCATGGACAGAGAAGCCTGGCGGGCTATAGTCCATGGGCTCGCAAAGAGTCAGATATGACTGAAGTGACTTAGCACGCACACATGCATAGAATCACATTTAAAATAACATGAAGGTGCATACCCAAACATTTTTCACCCAGTAAAGAGCCATCTCCAGGCCCTCCCACTGCCCTGTTTTAGGGATTTACCCAGGCAGAAAGTAGTCTTGAATTGTCTAGTTTAGAAGCAGGCCATGGAGGAAATAAGCCTTCAGGGACTGGTGAGAAAGGAAGAGGTACGTGACTGTTTCCACATACATGCATTTCTTTAGCACATTGAGATTTTCTGTGAAATAAGAACAAAGAAGCCAAACACTGCTAAGAGAGAAACTCATGAACACCTTTTATCAACTTAGTACCTCTGTCAACAGGATAAAAATCAACATCATGTCAGGCCTCTATGATCTCCTTTTAAAATATTCCATGACTTACAACCTTGGGTGAAATCCTATTCTGGTTGGTATCATACTTATCACATTTATTTATCATACTTAATGTCCCCTGATGATTAAGCATATTTAAGGATTTTCAGTGAAACTAGGCTATGCCATGTGGGGCCACCCAAGATGGATGGGTCATGGTGGAGAGGTCTGACAGAATGCGGTCCACGGGAGAAGGGAATGACAAGCCAATTCAGTATTCTTGCCTTGAGAACCCCATGAACAGTATGAAAAGGCAAAAAATAGAACACTGAAAGAGGAACTCCCCAGGTCAGTAGGTGCCCAGTATACTACTGGAGATCAGTGGAGAAATAACTCCAGAATGAATGAATGGATGGAGCCAAAGGAAAAACAATACCCAGCTGTGGATGTGACTGGTGATAGAAGCAAGGTCTGATGCTATAAAGAGCAATATTGCATAGGAACCTGGAATGTTAGGTCCATGAATCAAGGCAAATTGGAAGTGGTCAAACAGGAGATGGCAAGAGTGAATGTCGACATTCTAGGAATCAGCAAACTAAAATGGACTGGAATGGGTGAATTTAACTCAGATGACCATTATATCTACTACTGTGGGCAGGAATCCCTTAGAAGAGATGGAGTAGCCATCATGGTCAACAAGAGTCCAAAATGCAGTACTTGGATGCAATCTCAAAAATGACAGAATGATCTCTGTTCATTTCCAAGGCAAACCATTCAATATCACAGTAATCCAAGCCTATGCCCCAACCAGTAACACTGAAGAAGCTGAAGTTGAACGGTTCTCTGAAGACCTACGAGACCTTTTAGAACTAACACCCAAAAAAGATGTCCTTTTCATTATAGGGGACTGGAATGCAAAAGTAGGAAGTCAAGAAACACCTGGAGTAACAG